GGGAAAATAAGGAAAATGATGATGCTGGTCTGTTGCTCTCAGCATCGCTGGGTAAACTGACTGACAAAAGGAACGGGCTGTGTGATGAAATCAACCAATTTTAGTATCTCAGAACACAGTGAATGACACAGATCACATAGGGATAAAACTGACCTGCTCCAGATGGGAATAAACAGTCTAAAGGTTTCCAAGTGTGCCCTGGGAGACAACCTTTTTTTTAAATTACATTTTTATTTGTTTTACATACCAACCACAGTTTTCCCTCCCTGTTCTCCTCCTCTTCCCTCCCCCATCTCACTTATCCCCCCATCCACTCCTCAGAAAGGGTGAGGCCTCCCATGGGAGTCAACAAATCTTCTCATATCACACTGATGCAGGACCAAGGCCCTCCCCCTTCATCAAGGCTGAATGAGGCATCACACCATAGGGAATAGGTTCCAAAAAGTCAGCTCATGTGCCTGGGACAGACCTTGGGCCCACTGCTAGGGGCCCCACAAACCAACCAAGATACAGGACTTGAACCCACATGCACAGCACCTAGGACAGCTCCAGCTGTCAGTCTGGAATCCATGGGCTCCTGTTAGCTGTCCCTGTAGATTCCCCATCATGATCTTGACCCCACCCCTTGCTCATATGATCCCTCCTCCCTCTCTTCAGCTGGACTCCTGAAGCTCAGCCCAGTGCATGGCTGTGAATCTCTGCATCTGTTTCCATCAGTTATTGGATGAAGGCTCTATGATGACAATTAGGGTCATTACCAATCTGATTACAGGAGAAGGGCAGTTCATGCACCCTCTCCACATTGCTAGGAGTTTTAGCTGGAGTCATCCTTGAAGATTCTTGGGAGTTTCCCTAGCACCAGGTTTCTCCCTAACCCCATAAGAGCTCAGGATAACTTCAAAGATGTGAGCTAAGATGGTCCAGCCTCATAGACTGATCCAGCCAGCACTTGAGATGAGCCCTGCACTTTCCCAGCACACTGAGACTAGACAGCAGCAGCAATCCCAGGTTTTGACTATTATCTTAATTTTCTCAGGTCTCCTAAAGATGCCATTGCCCTCAGACAACAGGAAGTAATTTCAAGAACATAATGCCCACAATCCCAAAAAGTGGGGTGGGTGTGTTTTGTTGTTCAGTGGGTTATGGATGTTTGTCATTGTTTAGGGTGTTAGTTGTAAGTTGTTATTGGTCATGGTCAGGAAGGAAACTAAGCAAAGGAGGTTAGATTCAGATAAAGAAAAAAGATAAAAATAAGGGGAGATATAGAAATGATAGGATTCAATGATAGAATATTGAATCTACTTTTAGTCTAAAAAGCAACAATAATCTCAAATATTTTACGTTGTTATACAATTTTGTGTATTGATACGATTTTAGGTCATTTTTGTTTTAACATACTGTATATGTTTCTACTTTTGTTTAAGGTATTGCACCTACACAGCTCATTTAAGAATGTAATGTAAAAGGTGGTCCTAGAAATCTGCTTTAATATATTTAGGATAATTAAGAAATACAGTTAGTCATCTATAACAATCTAATTTGTACTCAAGTTATGTGTGTTTTCAAGGTTAAACAGAGATATGTTTTAGATCAATTTCTGGTCTTTATAAATACTCAGAGACCTACAGAATATCGCCTTTAAGATGTTTTAATAACATAAGGCTTTTTGTGGCAGTGAGTGTCTTCTGCTCCTGGCAGCATCAATTTACTTCATAAAAGGATGATGGGCATCAGAGAACTACTGCTGACCATAGAGAGCCAGCTCCTAGACGGAGCCCTGGGTATTGAGAGAAATCCACGGAGTCAGCGTAAACTAAAAACTCTTTCTATCTGAGTGGGTCAGGAGAAATGCGCACTCACACCTGTGCTGATGGACTCCTTTCTTCTCTCATGTTCCATCCTCTCAGATGTTCCTCTGTTACACTGTCGGCTTTCTCTGTTCTATTTCTCATTCTGGCTCTGTCTTTACTCCTGGTCTTTCCCCCTAATTCTCTAGTACAAGGTATTATCTTTCTCTCCTGATGTTTCTCTTGTGATTTTCCCCAAGTTTCTGCCCCTCCGTTACTTTGTTGTCCACAGCTATTTATACCACAAAATACTTCACACATTACATTTGAAGGTCACATATCATTTGTTAAGTAAATGATAAAAAGCAAAGTCATTCCATAGCTCACAATGCAATAAATGCAGATAAATTGTCACCTAACAAGGAAGGAGCACTGTATCTCATTTGACTCCCTAATTAATGGGAGGTAGCCATATAAAACTAAACTATTAAGGAATCTGAGAAAAATAAAATCATAAGCTAGATCCTACATAACCTAAGTGTCATTAAAATCTTAAACATTTTGTGGTTAGTGGTCATCAAATCCAGCTTTCTCAGACTGCAGACTGTTTACACAGAGCTTTGACTGAGAGGCCTCTCCAGCATGAGCTGCAGGGCAGAGGGTGAAGCCATGAGCTCATTCAGCACTCTCCAAGACACAGTGGCATTGAAATTGATTTAGATCTTAAAATATATTTTTCTGTTCTGCATGTAACCCTGGACCATAAAAAAGGGAAACTTGGAACTCTTTCTTGGGGCTATGAAGTTAGTTTAGTTTTTGTAGCCCTGGGCAGTGTGAGATTCTTTCCTTGTGGTGTCTGAAAAAAGGCCAAAAGCTAAGGTTAAGAATTTGTGCAGATCTATTTCATTTTGTGCAATCTCAGTTGTATCATAATGCTCAATAAACAATCACAGGAAATCATGTCAGCACTCATGCATGCTGGAGAGAAGGAATGAAAACAAAAAAAAATAATAATAAGGATTTGTGCAGAGTTTATCACTGTCCTCAATAATCAGCCAGACCTGGCACCGTAATTAAGTAGTTTAACACTTTTTACCGTGGCTCAACAAACCAGACAGCTGCCTATATGTTCTTGTAAATAAGAGTGTATTTTTCTGGGAATAGTTTATATTACAACCCATTAGTAAGTCACCAGCCTGGGCCACAGAGTGGGATCTTCTAAAAAAAAAAAAAAAAAAAAAAAAAAAAAGGAAATTCTACTTTTTAGAATTAAAAGGAGAAATAAAAATCTTCAGGACTGTCGAGTGCCCCTTCCAATCACCCCTCTCCTCCCTGCTCCACAGAGCCATTCTGGAAGCTCCAGTGACAGAGCCCAGGTTTCTGGAACAGCTGCAGGAACTGGACGCCAAGGCAGCTGCGGTCAGAGAGCAGGAGGCCAGAGGCACAGCGGCCTGCGCAGACGTCAGAGGCGTGCTGGACCGGCTCCGGGTCAAGGTGGGGAGTGGACCGCTAGAATCAACCCCAGGAACTCACTCTGCTCCCCTCAGTGCGGGGCATCGTTGGCCCTCTGGTTTCCCTGAAAATCTAGAGAGGCTGGAGCTGTGCCTCAGCGGGTAGTGGGCTTGCTTAGGGCTCCCGAAGCCTTGGGATCCACCCCCAGCTCTGCAAACATGGGCATGGTGGCCCTTGTCTGCTGTGCTAGCACTCAGGAGGTGACAGGAAGAAGATCTGAAGCTTCAGAGTGATCTCTGCTGCACAGGGAGTTGTGGGCTTTTACTGTGAGGAAGGAAGGAAGGAGGTGACAACACCATGAAGGGGAGGGAGAGAATACTTCCGGAGTGTACAGAGGTACATGAGACTCTGTCTCAAAACCAAACAGTGCTCGCTTTGGCAGCATAGAAACTCAAATTAGAGCACTACAGAGAAGATTAGCATGGCCTCTGTGTAAGGACACAAAAATTGATAAAGCATTCCATATTTAAAAGGGAAAAAAGAAACAGATAACCTGAAAATGTGAGGCCAGGCATGGTGGTAAGACATTTTAGCCCTAGCACTGGGGAGGGAGAGGCAGATGGACCTGTGTGAGTTCCAGGACAGCCTGGACTACACACAGAAACCCCGACTCAACAAAAGTAAATAAATAATAACACAGCACACATCGGAAGTATTCTCTCCCTCCCCTTCGCCGTCACGTCTGTCTCCTCCTTCCTCCACACAGTAAGAGCCCACAACATCATGACCTGTTTGTCCCCTCACCTAGGCGGTGACGAAGATCCGAGAGTTCATCCTCCAGAAGATTTATTCATTCAGAAAGCCGATGACCAACTATCAGATCCCCCAGACGGCCCTGCTGAAGTACAGGTCGCCACCCGAGATGGGCACAGGGCGGCCTGTGAGCTTCTTAACGGCCCAGCATGGATGTCCAGGGTCTGACTCGCCCTGGCCCTTCCAGGTTCTTCTGTCAGTTCCTGTTGTGGACGACACAGCAAAGAAAGATATCCTGGACCAGGGAGCCTCGTGTCAGGCTCCACCTCCCTCAAGTCAGGCTCCACCTCCCTCAAGTCAGGCTCCACCTCCCTCAAGTCAGGCTCCACCTCCCTCAAGTCAGGCTCCACCTCCCTCAAGTCAGGCTCCACCTCCCTCAAGTCAGGCTCACCTCCCTCAAGTCAGGCTCACCTCCCTCAAGTCAGGCTCACCTCCTGTCAGTCTCATTGTGGGGGTGCCTGGCTCCATCCCACAGGGCTCTGGGCCCACAGAGGACAAGGATAAAAGTGATCATTGGCTGGTTGAGCTACACTATTTTTATTTTTTCTCATTAGCCTTTTATTTTTAACTTAGTTCAAACCTTCGCCGATGTCTGCAGAGCTACACTATTTATGGGCCCCTGTCTACACTGCTCCAAAGGTCTTGGATCTGAGCTGCCCTGCTCTCAAAATTTACCTTCAGACTGACTCTTCCATGCTTTTCCAGCTATGGGAAGGAAACTCCCTGCAAGAGGGCAGGGAGGAGGAAGAGCCATGAGGGCCAAAAAAGGAGCTCCAAAGCCTGGAACCAGGGAAGGTTCCAGAACACGGAAACAGACCCAGGGAAGGCTGAGGAAACACTGGATTCAATGGGTAGGAAGAGAAGCTACCCTCTGGAGGACTGTCCACAGTCTAGACTTTCCCCTCCATTCTCTGACTGCTGGGAACCCTGTCCCATCACCACCGCTGCCACAGTGATGAGTCTGTCCTGTGTCCTCTCATGGGCTTTACAGCAAAGTGTCTGCAAGCAGAGCCCAGACTGGGTGAGCACCGTGTGGGATGATACTGTCCACTCTGTGCAGATCATAATCCCGAGAGTCAAACTCCTGAGTGCTACAAACTCCAACACTGAAATCCAGGAAGACTGCTAGGCGGTGACAATGCATGCCTCATATCCCAGCACTCCAGAGGCAGAGGCAGGGAAACTCCAGGAGTTCCAGCCAGCCTTGTCTACAGAGCTAATTGTTTAGGCCAGCCAAGGCTACATAAAGAACCCTATCACACACACACACACACACACACACACACACACACACACACACACACATCCAGGGTGATTAACTTCTCCAAAATCTAAAACCCCCAAAGTCACAGCTCCCCCACAAACATTTCAATCTGAAAAGTCAAATTCCCCATGAGCAGAGTCCCCATGGTGGGGAGAGTGTCTGTGTAACAAGACAGAAAGGCAAGTTCTAGCAAAGCCTTGTCCACAGCACAGCTCCTGTGAAAACCTTACAAACACTCGTCATCCTCTACACTGTGGTTTCTTCCAGCTGATGAAAGCCCAGAGCCTTGGATGAACCAAAACTTCCCTTGTCTGAAGACTCTGGTGAAGTTAGTGTGGGCTGAAAACAGCTGAATCTATAGCAGGACCCGTGAGCACCCTTTCTGTCCAGTGAGTTTCTCCCAGTGTGTGGTCTGGATGTGAGCACATGCAGAGTGGATTCCCTCAGACCCAAAGCACAGGGAAGCCTGGCCCAGCAGACGGGAAAGGTGGGCAGGGAGCTGATTTCAGGGTGAGAACTTGATAAAGACCATGCCATAGAGAAAACTATCCTGAGCCTGTGGTCTGGGGAGAGCCAGGTGCTGAGAGAAGAACACCCCTGATACTCATGACAACCTAAGACTTGAGGGTGCAAAAAGTTCATGACCTGAGGGTCTGCTGACTCAGCACATTTGCTCTTACTAGCATCGTGTGGAAAGCAGTGTGTCACTGTGACCTCGTCTCACATGCACACAATGAGCTTGTGTCGTGTGTCCTCTCTGTTCCTCTATTGCTTCCTCCAGACACCCTTTCCCAAGTCTGAGTCCCTAATACTCCTCCAGCTCTGACGCAACACCCCATGGATTTCCCGAGATCCATCCGGTGACACATTGTTTCTTTCTGATTTTGTTTCATTCTATCTTTATTTCATTAATTTTCCAAGACAGGGTTTCTCTGTGTAGCCCTGGCTGTCCTGGAACTCACTCTGTAGACCCAACTAGTCTCAAACTATTATCTGCCTGTCTCTGCCTCTCCAGTGCTGGGATTAAATTGTGGGCCACCAATGCTGGGTGTTGTTGGCACACACTTTTAATCCTAGCACTTGGAAGGCAGAGACAGGAGGATCTCTGTGACTTTGAGGCCAGCCTGGTCTACATAGTGAGTTCCAGGACAGGATCCAAAGCTACAGAGAACCCTGTCTTGAAAACCCAGAAGAAATAACTGTGTACCATCACACCTGGCTCTCTCTTGTTTTATGAGCCAGCTTTTCACTGTGCAGACCTGGCATATGCAGGCTTCATGGAAACAGCTGTTTGTCAGGCATTGCCTGGACTCCTGGTTCCAGTGTGGAGTCGGTGCCACTGACTTAGTTTTCCACTGAAATCCTTCTGTGAACTCAAATCATTCTTCTCCCACTTGGCCTTGATGCTCACATGACAACAGCCTCCAGCATCCAAGTCCCCAGCAGTGGGCTTGGGACCAATGACTGTGTCACTCGAGAGTCTTCACAGACAAGATACAACATGGTCTCCCACACAGGTGCCTTCAGAGGGTCCTGTATGTAATTTCCACTGTGCAGCCATGACCTTGACATTGGTCCTGCCTTACTTCCTTTCTTTTGTTTATTTTCTTTCTTCTTGATTTTTTTTTTAAAGACAGGTGCCGAGACCCGAGGGGCGGGGCTCCGGTAATTGGTGAGTCCTAGGTGGATCAAGCCTGAAAATAAGGGGCAAGAAAGAAGGAGGAGACCAAGCGTGGTTTTTGTCATGGTCTGACTTTATTGGTTATTACAAGGGGTTTTTAAAGAGAAAGGAGGAAGCAGAGAAATAGGAGGTGGCGGAGGAATGAATGTTAATTGCTCTCAGGCAGGTATCAGGAATCTCCTGTGTTTACCTCAACTAACCTAAGGTAGTGGGGGAAGGGATAGGTGTTAGTTGCTTCTCAGGCCAGGTCCTGGAACCTGAGGGGTGGGATGCTAGACTGGCTGGCGGCTAGCTAGGCATGGGGGTCGCCAAGGCTGGCTTCTGACATCTCCCCCTACTAAGTATAATGAAATGGAGTGTCTGGCTTAGGCTACGTGATGGGCACCCGCAGCCAGGACCCAATTTTTTATGATATTGTCATTTATATGACAGTGAGGGGTAGAGCCTCTGTCTTAGGCTAAGTGAGGTGCATCCGCCCCCAGCACTCAGGTGACCTTTCATAAGGCTAGCAGCTCGAGAGTGCTTTGGAGTGGGCATCTGGGGGTTGGCCTCACGCTAATCCTGTCATGGAGGACACTACACTGTTGGGAAGGGTTGGCATCTGGCCTGCAGCACCACGATATATTCCCGTCATGGACGGCTCCAAGGCCAAGGAAATCGGGAGGTTCGATGTTCAAGGCCTGAAAAATCCAGACCTTTAGGACTGTGGGGGTTTTTATTATCATCAGGCAGCTCAGAATCTAATGCCTGTAGGCGATGGTAGTGGATCAAAACCAGTTTTTCCAGGATGGCGTCAATCTGAGACTTAATGAATCTGGTTAGTTTTTGAAAAGCCCAGGGCCCGAAAGAGATTAAAATGAAAAACCCAACCATAGGACCAAGGATGGAAGGTAACAGGGTGGAAAGCCAATTTTAGTACCAAGATTCAGCTTGTTCTCTTAGTCTCTTACGTTCTTCTATGCTATCCTGAACCTTTTTTAGGCTATCTTTGACTAGGCCTGTCTTATCTGAGTAGAAGCAGCATTCCTCCTTAAGGCAACACATAGGCCCCCCTGCTGTAGGAAAAGGAGATAGAGCCCTCTCCTGTTTTGTAATACAACTTCAGAGAGGGAGACAACAGAATCTTTGAGATCTTTTAGTCCTCTCTGTAGTTCCTGTATGTCTTTATTTATAGATGTGCTTAATTCTGCGTATTGTTTATTGGAGGTGACTAATGAGGCTATGCCTGTTCCTGTTCCCGTGGCCACCAGGCCTAAGATAACTGCCAAGGTATTGCAGTAATGGGCTCCCTTTTGGGTCTGGACTGGAGGGCAGTGCCTCGGTCCCAGAAATTCAAAAACGGTGTGTGGATCATGGATGGTCAGGCGGGGCAATAGTTGAACCAGGACACAATAGTCTCTTTTAGACAATATATCGAGGTAACAATATAGGTGGTTAATCCTGAGGAGCAGGCAAGATAAGAATTATTAAAAGTTGAGATATAAAGAAAAGAGGAATTAACTATAAGGGTTTGATTGCAAGTTTGAGAAAGGGGGGTTGGGGGAAGCATATCTGTTCCAAGAAGGCATAGGCCCAAACCTGACTCTTGTCCAAGTGTTAGTCCTTGGCCGTCAGTTGGATTCCAGTGTAGGGAGGAGGTATCATTAGTGGGGTGTAGATCCCAAAAAGCTGCAATGCCCTCATAAAAGGGAGGGGCGGAAGAATAGCAGACCCAACAGTCCTCTATAAGGGACTGGTTGGCCTGGTGAATGGCCTGAACCGTAAAATTAACTAGTGAAAGTTTAAGGTCAGCGGAGGAGGGAGGGCCCGGAGGGATGGTTGGCTGAAACACAGTAGGGGGATGGGCTACAGAGCTAGTAGCAGGGGGTATCTGTGGAGGAGGTTTGCCCTTAGTCCCCTTATTGGGATGTAACTCTGGGTTGTGTCCAATGGTTACCTTCTTGGTGAAAGGAAGGTTTTTTAGCAGCTGGATCTTAAAGGTAAGGCCAATGTCACAGCCTGAAATATAGAGGCAAAGTCCCCATTGGACACCTCTCCCTTGCCAAAAGGAGGATGCTTTCCCCTTATCAGTAAAAGTAATTTGTATGGGGTTACACCAATGGGATCCACAGCGGGAGTTAAAGTGGGTTGGCCCTGAATTAAGTTGTTGGAACGGGGGTCTAGTTTCTTAACTGTAATAAGGTCCCAGCTGGAGGAAGGTTTCCAGTATGTATCTCCAGTGGTCTCACACCCCCAAGAGGCACAGAAGTAATCATTCTCAAATCCACAGTGAGCCTCTAGAGAGCGATTTCTGTGAGAACCAGGACAGACGTATATAGGTGCCCTTGTAAGATAAGTTCTAGTGAAACGATTATCGCAATTAGGGGTGGTTGCATACTGAGTGGAGGTATTAACAGGTCTAGGTTGTGGCATAAAATGGGAGGGAGTTCCCCTGAGAGGGTCGGCTCCAATAGCCAAGGCACAAAGATCTACTATCAGGGGGGAATAAGAGGGCTGTATGTATATAGAGGCATTGGCAATGTCACCGACTTGGTTGATGATCACCCAGGTGTAGTTGTAGATCTGATAAGGGCTTGCAGCGGCAACAGCAATCGAAGGCGGGAAACACGCAAGTAGCCAGAAAGACAGCATCTTTTATCTAAAATTAAACAGAATTAGAAGACTTCTCAGGGGCTTCCCTGGGTGGATTATATAGTTTTAAAAGGCGATCAGGCAACCATCTAGCATTATTGGCCTGAGTATCAAAAATACATGCATGTCCTTTTCCCCAAATGAGGATGGGATCTGGTCCCTGCTATTTGTGAGTTAGGGGATCTTTCCATAAGGCTTGAGCATAATTTTGAGCCGTTGATGGATGCCAGAGGCGATCTGAGGCTGATTTTCCTGTAGCATCATATGTGAGAAAATTTAGCACAAACAATGCATGATTGAGTAGGTTCTTATGATTGCCTTAGTGGGGTATAAAATTCCTCCTCCCTAATATAGTTTAAATAGCATGTTTTTAAGTGTTTGGTAAGCTCTCTCAACAATCCCTGGCCCTGGGGATTGTAGGAAATACCAGTAATGTGATTGATATTTAAATGAGAACAAAATTGCTTGAAGGCTTAGACTGGTATATCCAGGGCCGTTATCTGTTTTAATAGTCTTGGGTTGGGGTCGGGCCATTAGACAGGAAAGAACATGA